CCTGGAAATCACTAGCAGTGGGTGATCTACATGTTTGCTGTGACTACCACAGAGACTAGGATTTCCTTTTTCTTTAGAGCAAATGACACTAATAAAAACTGCACAAAAACTAACAAGAGATTAGAAACTTTTATTAAATATGGCATCGCTAGGTGCAGTCTAAAAAGGTAATAACGTTAGTCACAAGGATTTTGGTCTGCAATCCTAGCACTTGGGAGGCTGAGGCGAGATTCTGAATGCAGGACAAGACTGGGCTACAAGGTGAGATCTGATTCCCCAAAGCAATGGGCCCTACCCTATCTGAGGAGTGGATGGGGGCTGGAGATGGGGAGGGTGAGGGGATGGGAGGAGGAGAGGGAGAGAACTGGGATTGGTGTGTAAAATGAAAAAAAAAGGAGTTTGCTTTCTTTCTAAAAAGTAAAAATAAAATAAAAAATAACCAAGATTTAAAAAAAAAAAAAAAAAACAAATTCTTTAGGGAACTGGGTGTGGTGGTGCACATCTTTAATCCCAGCACTCAGGAGGTAGAGGATCCCTTGTTTTTGAGGCTAGCCTGGTTTATCAGCAAGTTCCAGGCCAGCCAGAGCTACTACCCCTGCTCCTCCCCACCTCCCTTGCCCTGGGTTTCACAGGTATGGACCTGGCTATATGACCCAGGTGCTGGGGATCACTCTGGGTTCTTGCGCTTGCTTGCAAGCACTTTACCAACAGATCCATTTCTAAGACCCAGAAACCGCGTTCTCTAGGCAACAACAACAGCAAAATTCACTGTGATTCTGACAATCTCTCTTATGCTCATCTGACAGCTTCCGGTTTCCATCTATCTAGCCAACCAAAGGGAAAAGGGTTTTGAAGAAAACGTCCACTCCCAGGGACATGAGGGGCCAGGCATCTTCTAACAGCCTTTCGGGCAATAGTTTATATTCTCCTCTGACGCTAAAACACAAAATCAGCCATAGTGACTTCAGGGTTGGCTGCAGCGCGGAATCTGAAAACACACAAGGGACCTCTGGGGCTTTTTCATTAAAACCCTTTGAACGGCCCAATCACTAATGCAAGATTCTGCAGCATCACACCCTGGAAAACCACAGCTGGAATAGTCACGTGGATCTGCCAAATGGTAACACATTTAATACCCTTCTTATGTAATGTTAACAAACGTGACTTGGGAGATGAGGCCAAACCTAATCACAAAAGCATCTTGATGCTGTTACTGTCACCGTGCTGGAAGCAAGGTCTAGACGCCCGAAAATTCAAATGTTACCATTACCAACAAATATTGTTACTTGCTTTCCTTGAAACGACAAGACCATGTTCACTGACAAATAAATAAATATAGGAATAAACAACCAAAAAAACAAATAGATAAATAAATCTGAGGAATCCCACTCTTGCTTGTCCTATCAAGCAACAAGAGTTACCATGAAAAAGATGTCCCGTTGATGGCCCCATCCCTTGCTTATTGATAGAACTTGTCAGGACAATGCAGGAGAGCGCTCCCCGGTGGTGAGAACAGGGAAGAACTGACAGGCTGACCAATCAATCCTGCAACTACCCAGGACTAGAACCAGGGTTATGAGTTGGCCCACCCCAACATCCACCCCAGCTGTGATCTCCAGCAGCGTGTGAAGGGACCGGTCTGCCCACCCAAGGCTTCGGGGTCTCCACAGCACAGGGCAACAACAGGATACTGAAGAGGAGTTCCAGTGAGGGCCCAGCATCGATAGTGTAGCAGAAACCAGAGCCTCAAACCAAACAATGACTCTCTGCAACGAACACTTGTAAGTAAAGATGTATAGACAAAAGGGTTTACTGTGTGACTCACTGTATCACACATGCAGCTTCCACGATGAGATTTTTTTTTCCTTCTCTCTTTTTCTTTTCCTTCTTAAACTTTATTTTTTTCTTTTATTTTGGGAGGGAGGTTGCAAGGGCAGAGGGTGGATACAAAGGGGCAGGGAAATGAATGGGATGGAGATGCCTGATGTGACAGACACGACGAATAAAAAAAAAATAGAAGAATTAAAAAAAAAAGATGGCTAGTTGAACTTGTGGCTCAGTGGTCCCATGGTTTTTACGTGAGCGACTACCATGTTGTTTATATGAGCATCGCCTAGGACAGTGGTTCTCGGCCTTCCTAACGCTGCGACCCTTTCATACAGTTCCTCACGTTGTGGTGACCCCCCAAACATAAATTGCTACTTCACAACTGTCATTTTGCTACTGTCATGAATAGTAATGTAAATATCTGATAGGCAGGATATCTGACATGCGACCTCCCAAAGGGGTCGTGACCCACAGGTATTAAAAAAAATGTATCCCCAAGGATCAACATGTAACAGGCTAACACCCATCACTGCCTTATCCTGAGCATTTACAAACAGAACCATCCTGTCTGTTCCTACACAATGCAGGGATGAAAAGGTCAGGGTGTGAGCAATCCCACACACTATTGCTTTGACTCCACTCACTGATACATAATTTTTTAAAAACAAATAAGATACAAATATTTGTTATAAAAAAAAAATCTTGTATTTCACAGAACCCGAGGCCTTGGGAAGCCCGAATGTCTGAAAAACGCTGTTTTGAAGACCCTACGGGATGGCTGTCCTTCGCTTTGATGACACGCTGTCTGCCTCCCTACTCACCGCTAACACAGATACACACAACTCCATGTCTAGAGCAGGGTGAATCCGAGAGAGTCGATCTCTGTGAAAGGGACACCACGGACAGAGTACAGACCAAAGCAGAGAGTGAAAGCCTGGGCTGGAGCTGTGCCGGCTCGGATGCCCGGCACCTGTGTAAATAACAGGCTGTGGCAGCACCTGCTGTGTCAGGAGGTGGAGCCAGGCGCTATCTATCGCTGGTGAGTAACCCTGGCGTTCACCTGCCGGCCATAGGCCAAACCGGCAAGCTCCACGTCAGTGAGACCTCGTCTCCAAAAGAAAGGGAGGGAGGGAGGGAGGGAGGGAGGGAGGGAGGGAGGGAGGGAGGGGGGAGCAGCAAAGGAAGACATTCAGTACTGACCTCCAGCCTCTGTGCATGTGCACACGCATACACACACACACACACACACACATACACACACACTGCACACACACATACACACAACACAGACATACATTGCTGTAATGATATAAAATGTTTTATTTGGGCTGGAGAGTTGACTTAGCAGTTTTCTTGCAGAAGAACTGGGTTCGGTTCCCAGCATCCACCTCAGGCAGCACCTGTACAAAACCACCTGAAACTCCAGTTTCGGAGAAACTGTCGCCCTCTTCTAGTCTCCATGGGCACCCACATGCAATAGCCACATACAAACACATAATTAAAAACAAAATAAATACTTAAAATAAGTAATAGTTTTCTAGAGAAAAAAAAAGACCTATGTGATTCATTTTCTCTGTAAGAAGAGACACAGGATAAGGGGATGATTGCTTCTATTCTGAGGCCTGGCTTATGAAAGAGAAAATTTTGTGAGGGTAAGAATAAAGAAAGCATTTCAGCAGGAAGCTTCACCTAAGCCGAGGAGAACCCAGCACGGAGGCTATGGGTACCTCGGGGGCAGCAATGTGTGATGACCAGGTGCCAGCTCCAGCCCTGCAGTCACCATGGGAGTGGCTGCGTGGACAGAGTGCTGCTACGCTGGCCAGCGCTCACAGCGGGCTGTGTGGTGGTGACCTAGCTTCCTGTGAGGGATGAAAGCTCCTGTAGCTGGCCAGCGCTCACAGCGGGCTGTGTGGTGGTGACCTAGCTTCCTGTGAGGGATGAAAGCTCCTGTACCTCACGGAACTGGAGAGAGAAAACGAGTCCTTACAACTCAGTCTAGTCGACCTGCAAGCAAAATTCATTCATTCATTCTTTCTCTCTCTCTCTCTCTCTTTCTTTTCTTTGTTTCTTTTCTTTCCTCCTTTCCTTTCCTTTTCCCCAAGACAGGGTTTCTCTGTAGCTTTGGAGCCTGTCCTAGAACTCATTCTGTAGACCAGGCTGGCCTCGAACTCACAGAGACCAGTCTGCCTCTGTCTCCTGAGTGCTGGGATTAAAGGCGTGCGCCACCACCGTCCAGAGCATGATTATTTCTTAGGGATCAAAAATTTTCACCTACAAAGTAGGATGAACTAGATGGTTTCTACACGTGGGTGTGGTATTTATTCTGAAATATACAAGACCATACTTAGAGAGTCCCAGAACAAAGTCACACTTCTGTTAAAGATTCTACAAGGATAACTGACCACTTGGAGCCATCTGATTATAGAGTTAGAACTCTGCTGATGCACAGCCAAATTCACTTGGGCTATTTTTAATATCTTTAATAGCCATTCAGTGCTCGCTTGAGTGTCAGAGCTGAGGTCCTTGTCACCACCAAGTGAGAGACACTCAAATGTATTAACAAAACCATTAGCTTCCACCAACCCAAAAGTTAGGAATGGCATCATCAGAACCTGTAATAGAGATCCCCCCAGTCTGCTGGAACCCACTTTCCTGATGTTGCCGTCAATGCTTAAGAAACACATTTATGGGCTGGAGAGATGGCTCAGAGGTTAAGAGCATTGCCTGCTCTTCCAAAGGTCTTGAGTTCAATTCCCAGCAACCACATGGTGGCTCACAACCATCTGTAATGGGGTCTGGTGCCCTCTTCTGGCCTGCAGGCATACACACAGAAAGAATATTGTATACATAATAAATAAATAAATAAATAAATATAAAAAGAAGAAACACATTTATGATTGTCTTTTGCTGCGTAACTATAAAGATGTCATAACCCCATTTCCACATAGGAACACGCGACTGCACAATGCGAATCCATGCTCCCAGCCACGCCACACACATCTGCCTCAAAAAATAAATTCTTTCGTATTCCCTTGCAGGTGAGAGACGTGTTTCGTCCTGACAAAAGCAGCCTGACCAGATCTCTTTAAACGGCCACCACATTTAAAACAAGAAGGAATCCACGGCTTACTCTTTAAATTCAAATAACAGGTAAGCTACAAAATAACTCTTACCGATTCTGAAAGGATTTCCCAGCAATATTGTCTCTGTAGGAATCAAACAAAACGTGGTATTGATCCCGGCTCCATTCCAGAACCACCTAGAATAAAAAAAAGAGAGAGAGAAAAACACCAATGCTTTCTGTGTATCAAAAACCAACAGTTCAATACGAAAGTTAGTTCACGTGAGCAACTGCCGCAGAAGCAGGTAAGCAGTCCGGAGTGCCCGCCCACTCCAGACACCCAGCTCAGGCCGGTAAACAAGCCACAGGTGTGGCTAAGCCATCTGAGAAGACTTAGGAGCTCACGGGCCTTGGGGTGGGGTCTGGGAATACAAAATTTGAAAGGAAGTGATGTCTGAACGGGGTCTCGAGGGGGATGAGAGAGGGGTAACGGCAGCTAGTCAGAAGAGTGTATTTGGGGCAGGTTCTTTGAGGGCAGCTGTGCAGCTGACCTTTTCGAGCAGAGCTGGGTAGATACCAGGAGAAAATAGGAGCTGGGTCTTGACGATGACTTGCCTGCCAGGCATGGGTTAACAGATGCACTCGCTGGGGGGCCGCAAGGCACCTATGCCCCACCTCCAGTCTGAGGAGGGAGCCCTCAGAGTGTGTGAGAAAACCAACAACAAGAGAGGAAGGGGATGTGATCTGGAAGAGGACCTCACTACCTGAGGTGTCCACTGACAGCCTCGCTATTTGGAGACAGATGCTGTACAAACACTCATAGACCGCTTTTCCTCTGTGTCTTCAACCCTGAACAACTCCGCCCCTCTTCCTGGCACACCTTACCTCTGGATTTGCTCTAGGCCTCACTGACTCTCCTCTCACGGCCTCCCTGCCTTTCTCTTCTCCTCTCAGTAGGATTTTGCCCACTGATGCACAAACACATCTCTGAAAGCCTTCCCTTTACAGCCCTTCTAGCTGACCATTCGCATCATCTATTTCTTCTAGAACCCTCGGCCCTCCCCAATACCACTTCTGCCCTCTCCCCCCCCCCATTTCAGTGGCCTATCCAGGTCAAGTCTGATGACAATCACTGAGTGTCCACCTTAATTCTTGATAGCTGACCACCCCCACTTTCTAGAAGCCCTCATTCTCCCTCTGTCTTCGGGTGGCTTGTCATCTGTCCAGTTTGTAAATGTGTCTTTTATTCTGTCCTTCATTCTGCAACGGTCTCCTTCCTGCCCCACACCTTCTAGTTTCATGGTCCTTCTCTGCCACAGTGTGATTCAAGGCTGTAGGCTTCCCGGTCTTTGGATTCATTCCAGCCAGCAAAAAGCAGGTTTTTTTCTTCAGAGACATCTTTGAAAATGCACCTACCGCTTGTGCTTTCCTTGGCTTAGCTATGCCACTACAGCTGGCACAGGGAAGCCGTGTGCTCGACAACACACGGTCATTTGTTTCCATGGTCCTCGGATACTCCAAGATCTGGTCTTTGCCACCTCCCTCACTCAGACCCCGCACGAGTACCACATATCAATGTCTTCACTTAATGGATTTATTTACAAACATCTGCACCTAACTGCAGGTTTGCAAGGACTAAGCTAAGAGCCCCAACTTCGAGGAACTATGTTGGCTGGTTGTTTTCCATGGCTTCATTAATGTGTAACAGGCAAACGAAAATCATACATACTTACGATATACGCTACATTTTAGTATATGCATATACTGTGATTAAATAAAACTAACCGATAGAGCTACCATCGGACGTATTTCTGTGATGAGAACATTCAGGATGAACTCACTGAACAACTTATTATGGTTTAAAATTTTGCACGTAGCAAGAATGTGGAGGTGAGAGGACAGTCAGTCCTCTCCTGCCACGCGGGTCCCTGAAGCAAACTCCGGTCCTCAGGCTCAGCAGCAACAAGTGCCTCTTGCTGCTGAGCCGTCTCGCCGGCCCTCAGCAATTTTTAAGCATTCAATCTATTATTTGCACATGTATATGTACATGATAATGTACGTGTATCAAATGTACTATTAATCACAGCCACTAAGCTGTACCATTCATAGGTCTCCGAATTTACTCCTCCTTGCCAAACTCTGTGCCCTCTGGCCAACATCTCTCTACAATTGATTTTCGAACGGAAATTGACTGCAATGCCGGCTGCACGGAGGAAGGGATGCCAACCCCTTCTAGGAAAAACCACTGAGAACGGCTTCCCCGAGGAAGCGAGGTCTGCAGTGTTAACAAGCAGAGCCTTTCCCAAGCGCAGTCAGAAAGCGCAGGGCACGTCGGCAGGTTCAGGTTCTAATAGCAGACTGACGGAGGAGTGAGGGGGAGGAAGAGAATGTGGGGTGGCTGTTAGGACTTCCAGGACTTCTCCTGCAGCACACAAAGAGTCGGTGACCATTTGGTGACAGGAGGAACAGGTACAATGATGAGGGCTGGTGAGATCCAGGGTCCTGCTATCACTGGTAAGTGAAGTTAAACATGCACAAAGCTGCCCTCCATCCTTATATCACACAGAACCGAACCTGGAGTTATAAAATGCCATCTGCCCTGTGAAGCACGGGTGTGCTAATTTTCAAGAGTATCGACTGCATGAGTCTCAGCTTACTGAGCGCCAACACAGAAATTCCCCATCGCTATCTCTGTGCCGTCTGCCACGGGACGACCGCTAGTCGTCTTTGAAAAACAAATCACCAAGAAAATTAAGCTAGGACAATTATCTGTTGTGGGAAGTTAGCCCACCAGACCAAAAGGAGCCAACCTGGAGTCTGCCTGGAGCTGCCAAAATCCCCCTCTGTGCCTAACCAGAAGGAGCTAGCTACCAAGCGGTATTTCCAGAGCGCCTAGCAAGAGGTGCTGTCGGAGGTCCTGATCATGCCTAGCCAATGAGAGATGAGCTTGAGGTGTCAGCTGTCAAGGGATCAGACCGCCTGGGTGCTGGGAGGGTATTAAGTGTTTTCCCAGTTGTTAAAGACGTGAGTCTGCTGTAAGCCTTCTACCCGACTCTCAGCATCTGTGGTCGTTCACCCCCTCCCCGAGGAAGACGTTAGGACCCAGCTCGTGGCTAGTGGGCTGCCCAGAAGACGCAGCAGGTGGGAGGGAGGGCACACAGCCTCGCCAGGGGTCAAGCCCAGGTGATAATCTTTATCTTCCCTCCTTGTGTTGGCTCACACCAGAATATCCAACCTCGTCAATTTCAGGGCGCTCTGACGTATTAGTAAAACAATCCCTTACCCCCCCCCCCCCCCAGTTCAATCCAGATGCTCGCTCCCTTCTCTGCCCTAAGGAATGTGTGTCTTGACTGCTGACTTGGAAATTACCGCCACTGTCTGCAGTACTCTGTGACTGACTGTTAGCTTTGTTGTCTTTATCTTTAAAAAATATTATTTCTTTTTGCCTGCATGTATGTCTGTACACCACATGCAGGTAGTGCCTGTGGAGGCCAGGAAAGGGCATCAGATCCCTTGTGCCCGGAGTCACAGACAGTTGTAAGCTGTTACACGGGTGCTGGGAACCGAACCTAGGTCCCCTGGAAGAAGAGCCAGTATTCTTAAATGTTGAGTCACCGCTACAGTCCCAGCCTTGTTCCTTATTTTACCTTTTCTCCTGTGCTAGCCAGGCGTGTTAGACAGCTTACTAAACGGGGCACAGCTTCTGAAGCATTCATGATTGTAATGGCGAGATACTTACAATATTATACGGCACTAACGCAAATTAAAACCTGATACGGAGGGGCTGGAGACACGACTCAACTGTTAAAGGAACTGGCTGCTCTTCCAGATTACCAGAGTTCGTTCAATCCCCAGCACCCCACATGGCAGCTGCCTATAACTACAGTTTCAAGGGATTCAACACCCGCACACAAAACACCAGTGCATATAAAAGAAACTTAAATAAAAACTAAAAACAGACCAACAGACCAGTTGAAGTTGTCCTAAAAAAAACTATATGAAAATTAATGTCACTCTAGATAAAATGCTAGATTTGCCACTTGAAGCTTTTCCTTCAGGTACTGCCCCTAAACCAGCCGTTCTCAATCTGTGGACTGTGACCCCTTTGGGGGTCATATTTACATCACAGTTCATAACAGTAGCAACGGTTACCGTTATGAAGTAGCAATGGAACAACCTTAGGGTTGGGGTCACCGCCACGTGAGGAACTATGTTAAGGGTCACAGCGTTAGGAAGGTTGAGAACCACTGGCCTAGACCAGTTTCCTCAGGATGCTTTGGTTGGCAAAGTCTGAGATTAGATGAACTACGATATTGTTTATAAAAATAATCTCTGACGTACCATACAATGTTACTAGTTTTTAGAAGTATAAATGCCATTAGAAGGGGGCTTGTTTTAACAGGTAGAAACGTTTCTGCGTGTGTGCATGTGTGTGTGGCGTGTACACATCTGTGCAAACACATGTGGAGGTCAATGATCAACACGGGATAGGACCTCAGCTCTCTCTGTCCTAAGTTTTTGAGGCAGAGTCTCTCTCATCAGGCCTGGAGCCCGCCGGCTCTGCTGGACTGGACAGCCGCCGAGCTCCAGGGTCCACCTGTCTCCGTCTCTCTCCAGCCCTGGGACTGGAGAACTACACTTCTGCACTCATCTTTAACGCAGGTGCTGAATGGCAAGAGCTCAGGTTCTCGGGCTTGCCGGGAGTGAGTACTGCACTGGCTGAGCCATCTCCCTGCGCCCCACGTTTTCCACTTCTAGGGTCTTTTTGAATGATCACGGCTTTCATGATCAGTCACCCGGCAACTTTTACAAGATGGCAGCCAAGGCCAATCTGCATCTCACTGAGTCCCTGTGACGTGATGGCAGGCAGCTATGAGGCCACAGGCACCCCTCCCTCTTGGCCACAGGGCTGAGCTGGTGTCACCTGATGCTGGCGTTGCCCAGGCTGCTCCCTCAGATTTATCTGCAGCTGGCTTGTAAAATATGCTAATGAATACAGCCGTTCACCACTTCTGAGGCTGATGTTTACCTAACACACCAGGCATCCAGTGACCCAGACCTATTTCCCTGAGATAGCTGGAAAGGGCCACAATTACACAAGAAGTGTGCGTTCTTATTGTCCCTACTGTGACTAAAATCCTCAGATGAGGTAGACAACTGACTCCCGCAGGTTGTCCTCTGTTCACCATACACACGGC